CACAGCCTCTCACGTGAGGTGGGGGAGAGGAGAGGCTCACATCCAGCGTGTAGTGGAGAGCGAAAAGAACAATGGAAGTGGCGTCTAGTCACGAAGCTCCCCCCCACGCGGGCGGACAGTTTTTATTTTTTCCTGAGCGGCTGGCGGGGGTTAGAGAAATCGAGGAAAGTGAATTTTTCCCCCTCAGCCAATCTGTTCTCCCCGTAGGCCAGAATCCCAGGGAGCTAGAGCCGTCGTTGAGGCCGTCGGTGGTTTTGGGTGACAGGAAAATGGCGGAAAACAAAACGTTGACGTGAATAATACTGCAGCGTCCCCTTGGCATTTTTTTCTCCGCGCCCCCCCCCAATATCCCTTTCCCTCGCGTCCCCCCACCGCGTCGACCCCATCCACCTCCTGCCTGCCGCTTGTGGTAACCTTTGGCGTGCACTAGGGATGGCAGCATTTGCAAGGAAGTGGCACCGAAGCAGGCATTTCGGGGAATAGAGCGGGGTAGAAGCGGTCTTAGCCGAGGTAGGGGGTGGGGATAGGGATGGCTGTGTGCAGCAACTGTCGCCTCCACTAAAACACCACCATTTTAGTTCCCAGCAGTCTCCCATGTAACAGGACGGAGCCAGCCAGAGGAGGCTTGAGGGGCTGAGCCGTACAGCACGGGGAGCAGCGGTGGCGACCGCTGCACCAAGTGATGTGAGGGAGGAGGGGAAGGGGATTCTTGTCTCCTAGGTGCTTCCTTCTCTTTGCGAAGGTTCCCTTGTTTGGTTTAAGATGGGTGATAAATATCTGAGAAGGTACGTGTGTGCATTCGGCTTAAAATGATTGAAACTTGGCATGGTCGCGGAAAAGGGAGACTTATGCGGGAAGAGGTCTGCGTCCAAAGCTGCAATACTGCTTCTTGCCAGGGCTCCTTTGTCTGCTATCTCAGTAAATACTACTTTCACATTTTCTTGCTTTGCCGCCTTACCATTTCCCTCCTTTCGCCCTGTTGGCATCGAGAAGCTCGGTCTGAATGAGATATGTTTAGAGGAGACAAATGAGAGTTAAATTTTATTTTTGTGGTTTCTGCTCCCCATGCATCCGTAGAAAGATGTTTACTTGAGCCTTATTTGGTAGGTTACCTTCAATTAATAAAGATATGAAATACACTCTGGAGAAGACTGAGAAGCCTAGTGTCTTTCGGTTATTGAATACTTAACGTATTGCTGTTTCCCACTTCATTTATTATTGATCTTGTTAAAACTTCCTATATGGGAAAAAAGGTGCTCCAAGTTTTACTTGCTATTTATACAGTATGATACTTCCCATAATAGTGGCACTATGTGTTGTAATTGAATACTAAAGAAGTCTTTCTGTATGGATTTGGCAGGATAAACCTTGCCCTTGGTTCATTTATTTTCTAAAATAAGATGTTGCTAGTGATTTTTAAAATGTTCTTTGTGGAAGATTTTGGTTTGAGGCATTGAATTCTAAGTAATAACATTGCTTATGTCATAGTAGGTAGTTGTTTCTACTGGCATCCTTTCAGTTGCTTTTTGGGTAAACACAGATTTGAGCTTGTGATTTCTTCCCAACGAAAAACATTCCTAATTTGTGTAAGAGATTTCGTGTAAAATATTTTAAAATATCTAATTTTGAGTGTTATTTTTGCAATAGGTACAGAGGATGTTTTCCCAAAGAAAGTAACGTAATTCAGAAGAAAAAATAGAAATTGCATGCAGATTTTACTTTATAATATGTAAGAAAATCTACAGTTTCTTCAAGCCACCCATATAAAGGTGATTAACAAATTATATTTAATATTTTATTTTAACGCTTAAATATTTTAAGATATTTGTAATTGTTCTATTAATTACACGATAAAGAAAGAAATTGATCAAGTGAAAATCCTAAGAATACACTGTTTTAAGGGTTAAATGTATATTCTTATGTCATTTTAGTTTATTTGTGTGAATATACAGATAATTTATTCTGAACTATCTTGTTTTCTTGACTTCATTTTGCATAAGAGCAAAGCAGAAAACAATGTGGTATTTGAAAAAAAGGGTAAAATACAGCTAAGAATTTTTTAAAATAACTGGTTTTGTTCACTATAGATAAAATAATTTTGTCCAAATCCTTTGATACACAGAAGTACATCATCTACTTCTAGACTGTATTTATGCATACAAATCAAATGTTGATAAGGAGTTACTCTGTGAGACTCTTCTGCCACTTGTATACCTCTAGACCAGTGGTGGTGAACATAAGGCATGCATGCCATACTGGGCTGTTTACATCACTGAAAGCTCTAAAAGGTTCGCCATCACTGCTCTAGGCCTTTAAAGCAAGAAAAAAAAAAAACCAACCAAACAAAAAAAACTCTTTCTTACTCCTCTAGTACGTAAGCATATGTTTTGTTTTACATGACAGCTTACTAAAACTTACGTTATGGTTATATGTCCTCATCTTTTCTGCTGTATAGATTAGTTTATTAAACACTTCTAAGTGAAAATAAGACAGATGTTTTATAAAATTGACATTTTTGGTTGATTTACTTGGAATCTTACATTTGATGGGGAAATACACATATTCAATTATGATTCATGTATTGAGTAACAGCATCTGGTTTTATGTTCCTTACTACTTGATAAATATAGGAAAATTCATTTCTTTTAAGTAGGTTGAATTTGTTTTCAAAACCACCATAGGGCTAACATGATTTTAACAATCACTGTTGAAAAAACTCAGTTGTACAATTACAAGTAAATTATATGCTTAAAGAAACAGCTTGCTAAATGTTTGTATGTGATTGATTTTATCTTTACCATATTTAGGAAACAGTCATGTTTCATGAGTCCTCAAAACTGTGAGACAAGAAAATGTAGTAGAGTGAGGCCAGAAGTGCTTACTGGTTCAAAGAACTCCGGGGAAACTGGGATAGAACATTTACATTATAAGTAGAACCCCAGGAGCCAAAGGTGAATACAAGTTTATCTGCAGAGGTCCGCAGCAGGGCTGATCTGGGTCTGGAAGAAATGGATGCCAGCCACTGGATGAAATTCACTAATTCTAGACATCTGAGTCTTCTAGTAATGTATAAATATTTCAACTATTGTCTGTTGTCATCTTGTTATTTTTCTTCTTTTATGACATATATTTTAACTGGAACCTCAGTGCTGCCTGAGGTCTTTTTCTTTTGCTTGCTTGTCACTTCTCAATGGTTCATCACACTGTGCTTTATTCTTCATTATCCTTTGTTTTCTTCCATCTACCACGTCCTTTACTTATGGTTGTCACATAAAGCATCTAATCAAGGTTTGGGGCTTTGATTTTCTTTTATAATGAGCTTTGCGTACCTGGTTGAGGGGCATATTTTCACTTGCATTCTTTTTTACTCAAAATGATTGACTTTGGGCTAAATATATTTAAACTGTTTCTAAAATCATTTCTTTTTACAGATATCTGTGAGTAAACTTTGCTAAGTATGGACTCAGTTGGTGAAAGTCTTGGAATGCACACATCAGACGCTAGAATGGCCCATACCATGATTATGCAAGATTTTGGTAAAGCACTTTCCTTGTTGTACTTTTTTTCTTGTTTTAAACGTAAGAAAATCTAAAAATTAAAAATAAATTAAAGAATAGGAGAATTACAAAGAAAAACATTGGTTTACTAGGAAAATAAATTTTTAGAGTTTATTAAAGCTATGTGTCAGTGGTCTAAAGATCATTCTTACAATTTGTGGAAGAGTTGATGTAAGCAAATTTGGAATATAGAGATAAGTTGTATAAGAGATTTACAAAATTACACATTCTGATAGTATTTATTACTTCCTACATATCGGAAATGTTTGTCTTCCTCAGAAAGAGTTAAATTGTAAATAAAGCTGGAAATTTAAGTACTTCTGTCAATTCAGAAAATTTGGATCCTTACAAAGTGATATAGGCAAAATCATGAATTCGATAATTAATGGTATTCTGATGCTATTTCCTCAGAAAGTCATTACCAATAACATGCATTTTTTTTTCTTGTTTTTTAAAAAGAAAATATTCCCTATATTTGTGGTGAAGCTTTTCTGTAGCCTCCTAACAGTCATTTTAGTGATACTAAAAATCCACTGACAGTCAAATAGACACTGAATTTGGGTTGGGTGTGTCTAAACTACCAAGGAGATAAAGTTATCTGAAATGAGAGGCAGGGATGGGATCATAAGAATTGAATGTAAGATAGAATTGAAAACACAGAAGACAATTGGTAAATTGGGATAAAAAGCAAACAGGAGATGGGAGGTAATATAGAATTGTGGAATGGTAAAAGTAATAATGAGGAACTACAACTAGTGATACTTTGCTCAATTAACTAAATACCACTAATGTTCTTGGATAATATGGTTGAATATGTCATTTGGTCCTTTATTGTAAAGCCCATAGTTGTAAGAATTCCAGTAACAGGCTTGATTCTTGTCTTGGCTGTTGTTAGCTACATGAAGTTGGCTTAGTTACTGAGTTGACTTTTATAATGAAGGGGTTGTATTAAATAACATTTATAGTGCTCACCATTTCTGTGAATCTTTCACATTTCTATCAGATAAGTAAGTTGGGCACAACAAAATTGAATATGGTAAGGTTTCGAATGACTACAATTTGTTGGTGATACAGATGTTAAGTATGGATTTATCCTCCTGAAAAAATAAGTGAATTGTGTGGATTCTGGATAATTTAGACGGATATGAACAAATTATTATA